TAAACTTATCTAATATGGGACTATGTATTGATAACTTCCTTTTTTTCCGAACTTTGGTTTTTTCTTTTACTTTTGGTCGCTAGCTTAGGTGACTTTATCAGCACTCGTTTCACAAGTAAGGAAAGTATTTTCAAGTTGTATGAATGGTTATGTACGGTATTTCCAAACCTTCAGCGTTATTGACTAAGATGTCAACCTTCATAACTAGCGTGGCCGTTAGACTTATTATTGACCCAGTATTCGACCACTAATTTTTTCGTAATTAAGTTTCCTGTTAGTTGATTTTAGTAGTCAGTTTATTGGGTCAAGTTCATTTACCTGTTAGTTCTCTGTAACTTCACGTCCGTCTTCAGCAGTCTTCTCTTACCCGTATAACAGGACAGAGTGAACTACAGCGCAGTATGCTAGTCCTTCAGTAGGTAGTCGAATATCTCCCCGTTGCCATAGATGACAATGTGGTGCACGTTACTTAAATCAACCAGATACCCTCTAGAAATTGGGTCAATCCCTGAGAAGTCGTAGGTACCTAGGGTTATGTTCATTGATACACCTATAACGAAGTTAAATAGGACCAATGAGAGCAGACATTTTTAACGAATACCATTGATCATCATCACTTCAGATGATAATTCTCCATAAGCCCTTAAACGGCTACGTGAGTTCGAGTGGAGAGCTTTGTTCAGCGTTACATGCTTGCTCAGTTCTTGCTTCACAGTTAGACAATGCAATAACACATCTCAGTCAACGAAGCGAGATATCCTCTTCAAGTTGAGAAATATAACAAATATCATATTTGTACTGGGTGATTATTGAAGGTGAGATGAAAACCTGGACCGTGGCCGGATACGAACCAGCGACCACCGGGTTACCGACCCGGTGCTCTACCAACTGAGATACGAGGTCTGACTGCTGACCAGAATTTTATTTCACTTCAATCACCAAGGGTTTTTGCCCGACTGCCATATGAATTCGTGACGTGTTACTACCGCTTGATCGTATTAACACTGGTTATTTAGTCAGGACTTCTCATCCCAATCCAAATCATCACCCACTACAAATACTAGTCTGCCAAAATACGGCTTAGATAGTCAAATCATAATAAATATCATAATTGATGTGTTTATCTGATATACAGCACACAGTATTATTTACTTGATAAGTATCATCACTATGTGTTGTATAACGAATCAACAAATCTAATATGGAATTACATCTACCACAGTGCCGAAGTTTTACGCTCATATTAATATTAACCTTAATAGCCACCATCAAGTATACTAGTGTTCCTTGACCTAACAAGGGGGAAAGATACAATCGATGAACTGTTCTCCATTTTGGAAATCTGCTTAGTTTTGTCGCTCCTCTCGAGCCCTAGTTAGTTGTCGGATGATTATAAACCCTAGGGTCTTAGACATGATTTTAGTCAAACTAATCCCCTACGATTGTCACAAGAAGGCTTCTTTCATTTTTAATTAACTGGAATGACCAGTGAATTAGTTCAGTCTAACGAAATTATCTTTGATTCCTATATACTACCTAGTACCTTCGGTATTCTACTCAGTAATTTCTTACTTCCTTCCTTAACATTTTCAGGTGGCAAACCGTCAGGTCCCTAATGCTTTGCGTCGTTTCAGGTTTCGTACAGTTGTATCGCCTTCAAAGAGATTTGGTGAACCGATATCTGTGACTCATTTAATTTCAGACCGAATACTGGACAAATGAAGCGTTACTTTTATCCATGAAAAATTTGTGCATTGTGGAGAGAATCAATTTATCATAAATACATTTGTAGTGAATGTTAACAAACATTGTGTAAACATTCATTACAAATATATTTATAATAAATTGAAGCGTTACTTGTTGACCAGTTGGATTCTACTTCAGAATGTTCTGTATCATGTTCTAGCCGTCTGTCCTGAAAGGTTACCACGGTCTTGTCCTTCTCAGTGATGGTCTCCTTAACCAACATCTCACTATCCTTAATATTCGCTTTTGCTACCTACCACTACTCGTAATCACTGAGAAGACTCTTGATCAATTCACGTTTGAACTTTTCGCTCCTCATTGTTATCATAGTCTTCTCGTCTCAATCTGTTCGGATGAGGTTGTGAAAATCCGCTGGCTTTTGCTAAGCTTTCGATGTAAGTTATCAACTGTCTTCATTGCTATTTCTATAGCAGACTGAATTTCACTTCTGGCTTTCTCAGGATGAGAATTTATACCTTGTTCAAATAAATCCTTCGCTATATCCTTCGTAAATACGTAAGTGACCTTCTTATCTTCCAGCTGGACATACGCTTCACTGTCATATGTTTCTTGCGAACAAACGAGTACCCGTAGTGATACACGATCAGAGACCAAATAGGTATTGCAGAGAGGTTTACAATCTCATCAACTGGCTTTCCTCTCCTTTCTAAGACTCTCCACTTGACTTTCGCGTTACTCACATGGTGATAGCATAACCCACGGCCAGGCCAGCAGTGGTCAAACAGCTGAAGCTCTCTCATGTCTTCTACCTTTAATCGTCACTTTTTTAGCCATACAGTAGGACAGGGCGAACAGAGGTGCATCACATTCTACCCTTGAAAAATAAGTGGATATCACGACGATGGTATAAAGGACGTAAGTTACCAAACGTCGACCTAGCCTTTTTTTTTTATCTGTGCAGAGATTTTGTCGTCCACTCGTCCACTGTAACTGATCCGACTTCCCAGATAAGTAAAGTCTTCAACGCACTCAACAACTCCACCCTCTACTGCTAACTGGAGCACCGCAGGAGATCAGTCCTGGAGAAACAGGTTGCAGCAGGATGGCGATAACCACCTCCTAAACTTTCTGCAATTACAACTCAAGATGTTTAGAAGATTCAACATCTTCACCTAACATAACTACGTTATCTGCATATTCTCGATCTACCAAGGATTCTTCTGTGGTCAGGTCAGTCTCTGTGTAGTCAGATGATGAGAGAGAGAGACCTCTAAGTACTTGGATGATAAAGTTGAGTAGGACTGGGGAGAGTGGACATCCTTGACGGATACCGCTAGATGTATGCAGCGTGTCTGATAACTCACCATAGGCTCTAACAAGTCAGCGGGTGTTCGAGTCAAATGCCACTTTCAGGTCTAGAAATGTAGTTTGTGTCATGCCGTCGATAAGTGTACCTGTATTCCAGAACCTGGAGTGGTGTGAATAACTTGTTAGGAAACCCACCGTCGAGTCGTAAGCCTACCTGGTTTTCTCCGGCGTGTTGTGCCCCAGCAGCACTCAGTCCATTTTATGATAATAGAACAGAGGATTTAGATACTATGATTCCTATATAGTTATGACAGGAGAGATTTTCACCTTTCTTTAAAACATGGTAAACCCAGTGATTGGTACCAGTCAGAGGGGATAGTGTCAGACTCTGATACTACTTATCACTTCAATTAACTTGACTAAACGACCTTGACTACTGTTCATAACTACCTGTAGAACTAGTCCGTTACTTCAGTTTCCTTAATTACTCTAAATAACTGTCTGCTGATACCTATCACAGCTGCCTTTTCCACCGCTAGCCTTTGCTACCCACCACTGTTCGCGGTCATTGTGTATATTTTTTGCCAGTCTATTTTTGAGTTGCACTCACTCCTCAGTGTACTCAGAGCCTGTAGGGATGCGTTCGCGAGCATCCAATAATTCAGAAGAAGTTGCTGATATCTACTATCTATTTCCAACCACTTTCTAAGAGTGGGCTACGGTTTTCAACACTGTTTTTACAGCAGACTGGAAATGGTGCGTAGCTTTTTATAAATGAGTGATATTATTCCTTTCCAATAACCATACAGGCAGTTTCTCACTGAAAGTGCTCTCAGCATTGAGCTACACTGGCAATGGCTTTCCTACGTCCATTTGGGGGCAAGCATGTACGTGTTAAAACCAACGCGCGGTCACTATTGAAACGCATGCTCGAGGAAAGAGACAAGCCTCCACTGACCCTGTTCAATGATTATCCACAGCGATATGTCCCATCTGCATCCACCATTGAGTTGGGGTCGGTAGATCCCATGTCAGACAATGTATCTCTTTATGTCTGGAGTTCGTGCTGACCAGAAATACATGGTTGTCTGAGCAAAGTTGTAGCAAGCGATCGCCGTTATCATTCCGTTCATCTGTGATTCCGAAAATGCCACCTAGTTGGCTTTCTGCCTGATTTAGCCTACCTACTCCACTTGCATTGAAATCATCTGCTACAACATCCATATCTGGACGTTTGGGTTTCAGTAGAAGGCTGGACAGTTTTCGATAGAACCCATGCCTCATTTCATCGGAGCTGCAGTTATTCGGTGCGTAAGCTAGACTACAAAGAGATAATGACTAGTTTATCTACTTCCTTTAGTCCTCAATGGAGCGTTCAGTCGGACAACGCACAGGTGAAATTTGAAGAGTGAATTTTTCGTATCCACTATATTGAGTGGGTGATGTTAAGTGGATTGGTGCATGTGTGTCTCGCAGCTGTAGCACACGTCCCTGATCCGAGATATCAGAGTTTTGGCTAACAATGCTTGTTATCCGTTTTACGGAGACTGCGAAGTTTGGATGCTCTGATACGTGGTATTTTGAATCGCAGTTTCTGAAGACCAGAGATTCTGTTTCGTGAACCTGAATTTTTACTGACTGCTGGGTAGTTGCGAAAAATTTTAAATGGCAGAGGAAATTTGACGGCGAGAGATTCAAAGGCAAAGATGTTGAATCTCAGTAATGATGTTATGGAACTTTTGTTCTGACAGAGTTATGAAAGAGGTTGATAATTCATGGTTACTCAAACCTTGGAAGGTCACTGTATAACTAGCACATTCTGCCCGGTGGCGACGGTGTGGCTTTTCACCTAAATTGAAGGCTATCATTGTTAAATTTCAACCTTTCAAAATGCCATGTGTAACTGACCCTCAAGAAAATTTATACCGGGCTTTGCGGATAAGCACCCATGTAAAATGGGTGCTTATCCGCAAAGCCAGGTATATATCTTTTTGTAGTCAGTTACATATAGCCTTTTTGAAAGCTAGGCATTCAACATTGTTCGAAAATCCATACGGTCGCCACCAGAAAACCGTGAGGCAGTATGCAATATACTGTTTTTTTAGGACCGTTTCTTCATATGGAAGTCATCAATCACAAAATTCCGAATTCTTCGTCTGTATTGACTATTACGTTGGATTGGTGTGTACAGCTATGCTTTTTATCTCTGGAAGGTCATATGATTGGATAAGGGTCAACTGTGTTGTAAACTAATCAAGGTTATTTTCTGTCCTTCTTTACTAAATGTAAATTTCAATTATTATTTTACGTAATTAAGTGTAATTTTTATTTTTAGCCACGTTCAGTGATGCTCAATGAAGTGGAAGATGAACATCACAAAGAATTTCGCGAAAAACGAAAGCAACACTACAATGAATTTTTGGCTGTAAAATTAGCTAAGGAGAATTTGCTATCGGATGATGAAGATGAAACGACAATGGTGGATGAGGATAAAGAGGAAATAGATGAGGAAATTAGACATAACGTTGAACAAGCGGCTATTAACGCTCGTCTAAATGCAGAACTCTCCCGTATCAGTCGACGTAATAATGATCAATCGGTTGACGATAACACTTCACGAATTCATAACTCACTATTGAAGCATGCAAAGCCTTGAGTGATATTTTTTTGAAACATTATACCTTCTCTATGTGTACAGATAGTCATTTACTCCTCTACACAGTCTTCTCAATTTCAGTCATTTCGTTTTGTGGTTTCATCCTCTTAGTATTTATGTTTCTCAATTTGATGGTATTCATATATCATCTTTGATGTTATTTACAACAGACCGCCATCTTGATATCGTTATTTGACTACATTAGGTTGAAGCTACGTTAATAGGTTTATCGGTGCAGATTTCAAGACTATTCTGGCACTACAAAGTGAACAAGTATATTAAAAATGCGTAAGAATTTCATGAATTGTTCAAAAGCTCAGTTCTTTAGCCGATAAGTCGCTTCTAAGGTGCGAACTAATGAAGCTACCAATCATCGAAAGTAAAACAAAATGAACCACGATAATCACTTACTGGATAGTAATCAAGTATGCAATTCCTTATATTTTGAATACACTTGTTTATTTTACAGCTACAGAACAATGTGCAATTCTGCATGAATAATCTTCAACCTTGTGATGACTTTACTATGTACTAACCCAATTCAACTGGTCATATCTTCGAATACGTTGGTTAAAGAAATTGTGTTCATTTCACAATGCACAGATTATTGTCCATATTCACATCATGATATGAATATGGACAGTAAATTGTGTTTGAAACATTATCTACTAAATGGTACTGTTACATTTTGAACCTATCTGTAAAAAAAAGAAAATGTCTTGGAAACTATGTGTGCGTGGTCCTGTAGTTGTATGTAGGTTTCTGAAAGCATGATATTATATATGTAGCTACTGTTGCTCATTGGTTTAGGCTTCCAACTGATGATTCATGGATTCGAACTCAGTTCTACCTATCAAGGTCTGAGCAACGAGACAGCATTGTTAACCCTTCGGAGATACGTACAACTCTGCCTACTCCATAAACGTGCAAAATCGATGAATGGATTTCGATCCTCATTTTCGACGAAAATATATCATTCACTTCGTACAGGTTTTCGTACTGCGCCGTGAGCCTTACATAATGTATGAGAGCTGATGATGCTGTTCAGTTGCCTATATTGAGGTCGGTAAAGCGAGCCTTTAATCCACCATCCATTGTTTGAAAGTCCAGTGCTTAATCCAGTAAACCACAGTTTATTTAAGGCTTTCGATTGACCTGCAACATCTTACAAAAACGGTGCATTGTGAAATGAACACAATTTCTTTAACCAACGTATTCGAAGATATGACCAGTTGAATTGGGTTAGTACATAAGATTAGTCATCATAAGGTTAAAGATTATTCGTGCAGAATTGCACATTGTTCTGTAGCTGTAAAATAAATAAGTATATTCGAAATATAATGAATTGTATATTTAATTACTATCCAGTAAGTGATTATCGTGGTTCATTTTGTTTTACTTTCGATGATTGGTAGCTTCATTTGTTCACACCTTAGAAGCGAGTCATTTGCTTAAGAATTCAGCTTTCAAATAATGTGTCTAGGTTTCTAACTCCGTCGTATCTCAATCGGTCTGCTCAACTGAATAGTATCATAAGTGCGACTCATTTTAGTACATGTACTTGTTATATATATATAATTTCAGAAAAAGTAGAGGTAAAAGAATAAAGTTTCCAAGAGCTATGGGAGAATAAAGCATAAATGCATCCTTAACACTTGTTGTCTCTACTTTATATCGCCTACGATCTTGAACCATCGATTTCGGCTGGTTTGCATACCGCATTCATGAGGCTTATTACATTCTTTATTTGGTTTAGATCACTTCTAGCTTCTTTTCAGCGTCGACGTGTATAACTGTCTAGCATGCGTAACAAATATTTCGTCCGTTTCAATTGGTAGACATTCATAGTTTCAATTGATTTACCCCATTTCCCTAGTACCCTAAGACAAACTTCTGTATTTCTTACACAGGAATTCTACCACACTTAACGGATGCTACGAGATCAGTCAACTAGTGAACATAAGTGATCTCAGTTAAGTTTGTTAATAGCAACTCGTCTGCTAATTGAAATCACATATTGATATTCATGTGAAGTACTTCTTGATAACTGAATCAAAATCAGTAATAAATGAGGGATTTACTTTAGTTAATCGAATACATTTCGACTCCACAGTGTGGATGGCCGTTCATCTGTTTATTAATGGGATTCTATTGAACAGAACACTATTAGGATGTTCATAGTGATGATAAGTTTACATTATTCTGAAGTGAATGTCGTGGAAGTTAACTAGTGGTGAGATGAATATCAGTCGAAGATCTTGTTAATACAACAGGAATTATGATCCTGTCGTGTGTATTACTTTTTCGACATCACACTAACACTATCCTTCAAGTGTTCATCATCGAAACAAAAAACTGCACAACTGAAAGTATGCTTTCACCTTTTGAAAGAAATAGTAACTTTCAGGAAGATTGTACATATAATTAAATAGTATACTGTCGGGATTTCAGTGATATACGTTCGCTATAGTTTCAGTCATCTAACGTTCACAGGATTTCGTTGAAAGTGTCAGAGCTGAGGATATTTTGTTAAACTGAGTAATAGGAAACGCATGATCATTCCACCGATACAAAAGTATGTCTTAGAAGACCTGAGTTTAGAGTTGGTTACAAGATCTAGTAGCTCATGAGTACCATTAAGTGAATCTGTTGACTGTGCTACATACAAACAACTTTATTGATATGAATTTTCTCTCAGAAGGTACTTCGATCTGTACTGCGAAATGTGAAACCTCATTCTTGTGAAATTATCGTAAATTAATTGATTTAGCTTGTCTTCCAATCACGTACAACAGGGACTCGATAAACATCATGACTAAAAATCACCGAAAGACGAACAAATATTATATTATTATTATCATTATTTGTGCCTCGGGTTCCTGATGGAACATAGGACTTCAGTAGCACGTCTCCAGTGCACTCTCTTCTCTGAAATCTTTTCAACCTGGTTCCACAACAGCCCACAAGCTCTCATTTCTTCCTCACACTATCTCCTCCATGTCACCCTCACCACGGACGCCAAACTCGTCACTTCCCATCGGGGTTCCACTCGAGTAACTGACCTGACGCGTGATGTCCCCAGTCAGTCTTCGCAGTGTATGCCCAATCCATCTCCAATTCCTTCCACTGCATATTTGTTGAGTGATAGCTTCTTCGTTGGTTCGTTGCCAACCAGCCAGAGCTCCTTGTTGCTTATTCTTATTATTCTGACCATCTGATCTTCAGTAACGAGCCAGCGTAGGCAGTTGTTAATGAATGTCTGCAGTTTGTTGGAAATCCGTTTCGTAACGCGCCAAGTCTCTCAACCATCACATAGGAGCCCTGACTTGACGACGTTGGTGTTGAAAACCCGGGTGTTGTTCACGCTTTATGCTGAGTGCAGTGCAGTGCAGTAGATCTCCACACTGGTTTCAGGTTAATGAACGCCTGTCTTGCTTTTCCGATCCTGGCTGCTTTGACGTCGTTGTCTGTGCCACCGCCGCCTGTAGTTGAAACAGTGCTGCCTAGATAGGTGAAAGAGGCTACTTCCTTTAAGTTTCTCCCGTTGATGGTGATTGCAGCTTATTGTTGTTGTTGTTGGTGTTGATGTTGGTTAGGTATCTTCATCACCTCTATCTTCTCTACGTTCACTTGAAGTCCCGTCTTCGCTGCCCTGCCTCACCTCTTCTGTCAACTTGTTAGTTTTCACCTGTAGATCTTCGAGTTTGTGTGACATTAGACACAAGCCATCGGCGAAATCCAAATCTTCTTCTGGGGTCTTTTCCTCTGTCCAGCGTGTCCCCCTCTTCTCGCTCCTCACTGTTTGTTGCATGATCCAGTCCACTACAATCAGGAATGTCATGGGTGAGAGTAGACAGCCTTATTTTACTCCTGTCCCCTGTCTTCACTTCAAGTGCAAAGGCATCACTGAGCTTCCCACTGTGAATTACTTGGTATGTGGCATCTTCATATAGTTGTTGAGTGAGGCTGGTAAAGGTTTGTAGTCGATCAGATTTTTAGTGTGTCCATCTGGTGAAATCAAATCCATGTCGCTTTGCGGATATCCTTGTGATTGAACACACTGCCTGACTCCAATCACCAAATTGTTGAATGCACAGAATTCCGCAAACATTTCTCCGTTCTTGTTCATTACCTCACCGAGCACTTCTCGACCCATGGTTAGTTCTCTTCCTGTGTTGTCCCCTCCCAGTTTGGCATTTAGGTCGCTCATTAGAATTTTGATATTGCCAACTGCCGTCTTGTCCAGTGTTGATTACAGTTGTCTGTAGAATTCCTCCTTTTTCTCTTGCTCTGCATTATTTGTAGGTGCATAGGGTAGCATTGTATGATTGTGACCTTTCTTCCTTTTGAGTTGAATCTTGCTGTCATGATCCTGGAGGAGGAGATTGGTTCCCACTGCATGAGAGCCTTCGATGCTCTTGGGGACATCATGATAGCCACTCTATAACTCAATGTGCTCGTGGTTGTCGTCTGGGTGACAATATCGGAGTAGATTATTTATTCTCCAGTTGACTGTTTGCAGAGTCCACTTTCATTCCACCTGCTTTTGCAAATTCCTAACAATTCAATGCTATGCCTTCTCATCTCGTTTGCAATCTGGGCAGCCTTGTTAGGCTCTATGTCCCCATGTTTACTTTCGCTTTCATTGAGAGAAGAGGAGATACATCGGTTAATTGGCTTCCCGAAGGCAGGCTTTCACCAACTGGCGTCATTTCGCCTTTCCGATTTCAGCTAGGAATAATTTTGTTTTCATTTTTATTATTTTGTTTGTGCTTTGAAGTTTTTTTACCGGTAGGATTGGTTTTACGGGATAAGGGTTGCTAGCCCTGTGCCCAACCCTCCCTCTTCACCCGGACTTAGGACCGGCTAGTAACTAGTTAACTAGGCGAGGTTAAATCTGGGAGCACTGGACAGCTGTTTCGTCCTAGTGTGGGACTTTTCAACCTGGCTGGGGATTGAACTCATGTCCTTCAGGTTTCACGGCGAACGCGTTAACCGTTCAGCCACTAAGTCAAATATTATATACATACTAATAATTCAAAACTTTCCCACTGGTAGCTTCAGGATTTGGATAACTTGAAAGTCATAAATGTTACAGATGTCTTAGAACAATTTGTTCCTCGTG